TTATTTGTCATTTTTCCCTTGCTGCTTTCAAAAATTTTTCTTTGTCTTTAATTCTTGTTAATTTGATTTCTCTGTGTCTTGGCTTATTTCTCCTTGGGTTTATCCTGTATGGGACTCTGCACTTCCTGGACTTGGGTGGCTCTTTCCTTTCCCAAGTTAGGGAAGTTTTCTTCTATAGTCTCTTCAAATATTTTCTCGGGTCCTTTCTCTCTCTCTTCTCCTTCTGGGACTCCTATAATGCGAATGTTGTTGCGTTTAATGTTGTCCCAGAGGTCTCTTAGGCTGTCGTCATTTCTTTTCATTCTTTTTTCTTTATTCTGTTGTGCAGCAGTGAATTCCACCATTCTGTCTTCCATGTCATTTTCTGTTCTTCTGCCTCAGTTATTCTGCAATTGATTCCTTCTAGTGTATTTTTCATTTCAGCTATTGTATTGTTCATCTCTGTTTGTTTGTTCTTTAATTCTTCTAGGTTTTTGTCAAACATTTCTTGCATCTTCTTGATCTTTGCCTCCATTCTTTTTCCGAGGTCCTGACTCATCTTCACACTCATTATTCTGAATTCTTTTTCTGGACGGCTGCCTATCTCCACTACATTTAGTTGTTTTTCTGGGGTTTTATCTTGTTCCTTCATCTGGTACATAGCCCTGTGCCCTTTCATCTTGTCTGTCGTTCTGTGAATATGTTTTCTGTTCCACAGGCTGCAGGATTGTAGTTCTTCTTGCTTCTGCTGTCTGCCCTCTGTTGGATGAGACTACCCCCTCGTGCATTTCTTCAACGTAGCGGGAATACGTGAATTCCAACTATGCCAAATAATGTAAAATTCATTTTTAAAAAAAGGCCTAAAATGTGTCCTAAAAGTTTTTCTCTAACCCAAATGGGATCGAGTACCTCCAAGGTTATGGCAGGAGTCTCTACAGAGTTTTTATGGCTTAAAATTTACCTTGTTTCTTTTTAAAAAATAAACTTTTAATTTTGAGATAATTGTACATTCACATACAATTGAAAGAAATAAACTAGAGATCCTGTGTACCCTTTCTGATTTTCTCCAGTGGCAACATGTTGCAAAACTATACTACAGGAATTTAACAAAAATATTCACATTGATACCATCCAATCATATTCAGGTTTCCATGTTTCACATATATGAATTTGTATGTGTGCATGTGTATATTTACCTCATGTAGTTTTCCCACATGCATATGTCCATATATTCAGCACTAAATACACAAGAGAGTTTCATTACCACAAAGATCCCTCATGTTGCCTTTTTACTCACACCCACCTCTCTCTTGTCCCCCTAACCTCACCTTTAACCCATGTTGACCATTACTATTTTCTTCATAGTTTTCTCACTTTAAGAAATATTATAGAAATGGAATCATAGAGTATGTAACCTACTGGGACTGGCTCTTTTCACTCAACGTAATTTTCTGGAAATTCATCCAGGTTCTTGCTTTTATCAATAGTTTGCTCTTTTTCATTGCTGAGTTCCTAATATTGAATCAGCCTTGCATATGTGGAATTAAATCTACTGGGTCATAAGGTATCATGCTATTTATACATGGTTTGATTTAATTTGCTAATGTTGTTGAGAATTCTTGCACGTATCTTCATGAGAGATACTGGTATGTACTTTTACAGTTTTGTACTTTGTCTGCTTTTGGCATCAAGTTACAATGGCCTCACAAAATAAATTAGGAAATGTTCCCTCTTCTGTTTTCTGGAAGAGACTGTATAAAATTATTCCTTCTTCAAATGTTTGGTAGAATACTCCAGTGAAATCATCTGGGCCTGGGTATTTCTCTTTCAGGAATTTTTAAATTATAAATTCAGTTTCCGTAGTGGTTATGTCTCTATTCAGATAATCTATTTTATCTAGAATTTTAGAATGTGGTTGTTGAGGAAATTGTTCCATTTTCTCTAGACACAGAATTCGTGAGTATAGTAAAACTGTTCATAGTAATTCCTTATTACCCTTTAATGGCTACAGGGTCTATGTTGATATTCCATTTCATTCCTGATACTGATGATTTGTATCTTCTCTCTTATTTTTGTCATAATTATAAGAGGTTCATCAATTTTATTTTACTCTTTGAAGAACCAACTTTTTGTTTCCTTACCTCTTGTTTTTTCTGTATGAATGATATTGATTTCTGTTTTTGTCTCTATTATTTCCATCCATCTGCTTCCTTTAGATTTATTTTCCTCCACTTTTTCAAGTTTCTTGAGGCGTGAATTTAAACTACTGATTTGAAACATTTCTTTATGTATAACATGGCCATTTAGTGTAAAATATTTCCCACTCATCCTGGCTGTAGCAGCATTCTACAGGTTTGATATGTTGTATTTTCATTCAGTGCTATGTCTTTTTAAATGATTTCCTTTGAAATGACTTCCTGTTTGACCCTTGGTTTATTACTGTGTTGTTAAATTTCAAGGTCTTTGGGGGTTCTCCTGTTGTCTGTTATTTATATCTAGTTTGATTCCATTGTGGTTAAAGAATATACCCTTTCTTGTAAATTTGGTGAAGTGTGTTTTATGGCCCAGTATATGGACTGTCTTGGTGAGTGTTTCATGGGTGCTGGAAAAACAAACATATATTCTGCTGTCCTTGGGTGGAATGATATGTGTGTGTGTGTGTGTGTGTGTGTGTGTGTGTATAAATTAGATCCTGGCATTTGATCATGGAGTTCAGGACTGCTACATCCTTGATGATTTTTGTTCCAGTAGTTCTGTCAGTTGCTAGAACAATACCAACAATTGTCAATAGTAATAAATTTTCTCAATTTCTCTATCTGCTCTCTCAGGTTTTCCTTCACGCATTCTGTCATCTGGTTCATATACATATAGGAATGTTACATCTTCCTGGTAGATTGATTCATGATTATTAAGTAATGTCCCTTGTTGTCTGTAATAAATTTCTTTGCCCTGAAATCTACTTTAGTATACTCCTGATTTTTAAAATTGATTGCATGATATGTCTTTTTCCACCCTTTTGCTTTCAATCTTCCTATGTCATTGACTTTGATAAACAGCATATACTTAACGATTTTTCATCCAGCCTCACAATCTCTCTTTTGAAGGGTGTAATTAGAACTGTTACTTACTGATATGTGAGGGCTTAAGTTAGCCATTTTATTATTTATTTTACATGTGTTTCCTCTGGTTCTCATTTTTCTGTTACTTCTTTCTTGTTTTCCTGTGGGTTATTGGTTTATTATTTAAGATTCTATTTGGATTCATTCTTAATGTTTTTAGTGCATCTCATTGTAGTTTTCTTAGTGGTTGCTCTGAGTATTACAATATACATATGTGCCTTATCATGGTATATTACCACTTGTAGTTAAGTGTGAAAACATTACTTTCATTTAGGTCCCTTTATCTTTCCCATTTTAAAATATTATTTTCTAGAGTATCAGTATTATCATTTTTGCTTCAGTTATCACATGTGATTCTAAGATCTTGTGGGTAGAAGGATAATCTATTGTATATACTCATATTTGTGTTTGTCTCATTTTCTCTTCCTTCCTAATGCTCCAGTATTTCTTCTTTTATCATTTACTTCCATTTGAAGAACTTCCTTTAGACATTGTTTAAGGGTAGGTCTGCTAGCAACAAATTCTTTCAGTTTTCTTTCATCTAAAAACATGTTCATTGCACTTCATTACTAAAGAATAGTCTTGCCAGATGCACATTCATCAGTTGACAGTCTTTTCTTTCAGCACTTGAAGAAAAAGATTGTGCCATCTCCTTGTGAGCTCCAACGTTTCATATGGTATGTGCTGTCATCTGAATTGGCGTGTTCCCTCTCCCCTATGGGTAATGAATCATTTCTTTCTGGATGCTTTCAATATTTTTTTTGTTTTTAGTTTCCATAATTTAAAATATGATGTCTTAGTGTGGATATATTAGGATTTATTTAATAGTCACTTGGTTTCTTGAATCTGCACACTTAGGTCTCTTGCCAAATAGGGGAAGTTTTCAGCCATTATTTATTTAAATAGTTTTTCAGTCCCATACTCTCTTTCTGGGACTCTGATAACATAAATGTTAGCTTTTTCATCCTTGTCCCAGAGATTCTTTTTTTATCCCAGTCTATTTACTCTCTGTTGTTTAGATTTGCTAAGTTATATTGACCTGTCCTCAAATACTCTGATTCCATTTTCTGTCATATCATTTCTACTATTGACCCACTCCAATGAGTTTTAAATTTTCTAATTTTTAGTTGTATCATTTCCACCGCACTTTTTGTATACCTTCTTTTGGTTGAAATTTTGTACCTTTTCCTTTGTTTCTAGAGAACTTACAATTGCTTGAAGCATTTTTATGATAGCTGCTTTACTGTCCCATCTCAGTATTGGTGTCAGGTGATTGTCTTTTCTAATTTGTGATTCCTGGTTCTTGGCATGATGGGTAATTTTCTATTGTATCCTGAACATTTAGCTGTGATGTTAAGGGACTCTGCATCTTGTTTAAATCTTTCATTTTAGCAGGAAGTCATTCTGTCTTTAGGTTTGGCCCCCAGATCCTGGCCTAGCGCTGTGGGCTGTGTTTGTTCCAAAGACAGTTTTCAAAACTCTTGTTTTACTGTGAATCTGTTTGGTTTCTTTGGTAACACTTTGGCCCCCACTTTTCCCTGCTGTTGTTTTTGGAGTGTGTGGATGGAGCTTCCCAAAACAGGCTTCTCTGTGTCTCTAAGTAGGGGATGCTGTGGCCCCAAATAGGAAAAGTTTCACTGGCTGAGCCACTGATGTATCAGAGTCCCCCTTCCCACTGTCTCCTGGCCACCTGGTATCTTTCAGTAGGGGAGGGGAATCTCTTCCTCTGCTGGGCAATTTAAGGTGGGGGAGAGGGGACATGTCCTTGCTGGTGCTGCCTAGCTGCCAGGTGTCTTGCATGTAGATGGGGAGTCTCAGGTATGTGGAGATAAAGAACACTTTGTGGGAATGTATTTCATTGGCAGAATTGCCCTGGCTGCTACCAGCCAACTACCTAGTGTCTCTAGGTGAGGGGAGGGGAGTGTCAGTCCTGTGAGAAAAGAGAGCAC